ACTCCACTCTCACTCACAACTATTGTAGTTGCCTCAGGTCTACAAACTCTGAGAGAACTTTGAAAACTGAAAGAAACTTACAATGCTTATTGAACAAAGCTTGAAGCTTACAAACGGAAAACTTCTAACTTATAGACTTGGCTTACGAAAGAAGACAAAATATCTTTTGAATTATAGTTCTTGGAGAAACCCAAAAAGCCTGCAAACAACTTCACTGTGGGGATCATGGCCCTGCTATCCATTTCCCTTTCAGGCTCAAAGACAGACACCCAGATCATTGTGGATATCCTGGGTTTGTTGTATCTTGCAATGAAAGACATGAGACTGTTCTTGAGCTGCCAATTCCAGTCAAATTATCTGTGAATACTATAGATTATAAGAATCAGGAAATCTTTTTATATGACCCAGATCATTGCCTGGTGGCGAAGCTTTTAGAAACCCAGACCATGTCATTCTCTCCCTTCTACATAATTTACCCACGGAACATTACGCTATTCGATTGTTCTTTAGGGCTTGAGGAATCTGGAGATGGAGATCCTGTGGCTGCTGTCCCCTGCCTTAGTAGCCCCGGCCACCATATTTATGCAGTGGATTCTGTTGATAACGTTGAAGGCCTACAATATTGTACCAAGACGTCTAATGTTTTTCCAGCTCCATATATTTTTTCGCCCAAACAAGAGACTGCATTCCGTTGGTCTAAACCAAATTGTACAGAATGTGAAGCAGAAGGAAAGAAGTGTAGATTGAAGAATAATGGAACCAAAAACGAAATCGAATGTGTACATGAAGCAAATATGAGTAAGTGGGTAACATTTATTTCTTTATTTATTTCTTTTCATATATATACGTATTGTGCTTCAGTTTTTACAGATTCCAAATTTCTAATAGAGCATAGATGTTAACACTTTCTGCTTGCTTATTCAAACATCATTTTTTCCTAAGCAAAAACTAAAAACGAAATAATCTTCAAACCGTGTGAAGTTGTACCAAATTCATGTACCCATAGAAAATATTAATTTCATAAATATTCTGACTGTGCCATTATCTTTTACAGGTGCAGCAACGAAATTAGTGGTTACAGGTGAGTCAGCTAACTGGTTTTTGGTTTGTTTCATCTCTACAAGACGTTGTCGGTATATATATATATGTATTCACATAGGGTTTTCTGTGCAGGTGCATCCCTGGGTTCATTTGTTCTCATGCTACTGGTCATTGCAGCCTATCATGTCTATAGCTATGACAGAAATGAAAAAGAGAATCGATTGAAAATTGAAAGATTTCTAGAGGACTACAAAGCTCTCAAGCCAAGCAGATATTCTTATGCAGACATTAAGAGGATTACAGATCAATTCAAGGACAAGTTAGGGGAAGGAGCCTATGGATCTGTTTATAAAGGAAAGCTTTCTTCTGAATTATTTGTTGCAGTGAAAGTCCTCAACAGTTCTACGGGAGATGGGGAAGATTTCATAAATGAAGTGGGAACAATGGGTCATATCCACCATGTTAACGTGGTTCGCTTGGTTGGCTTCTGTGCTGATGGATTTAGACGCGCTCTTGTTTATGAGTTCTTACCTAATGGTTCACTACAAGATTTCATTTCATCAGCCAACAATAATAACAGTTTCCTTGGTTGGGATAAGTTGCAAGATATTGCTCTAGGCGTAGCCCAAGGAATTGAATATCTTCACCAAGGATGTGATCAACGGATCCTCCATTTTGATATCAAACCACATTCTCTCTAACTTGGTTTCTCTCTTCTGCTCATTCAAACTCCATTAGGAAAACTATAAGCTCCCCTAATCTTCAATCCAGTAGTTCACATTGAATTTTCGTTGGCCTATATTCAATGGCTGGACTCTTAAAAAGATGCTAAAAAGGATGCTCCTGGTGCTACATGAACAAGAAGGGAAAACCCCAGAAAACAACCAGCAACTACATAAAAACCTCTGTTTTTGGATTTGGCATATAATCAACTTTCCTATTACCGGATTATAGAGCACCCACCTTTTAACCATATTTTGAATATGGATCTTTCTTGACTCTTGAATTTCATTTACAACGAAGACTTTTTCTTCTTTCTTTTGTTTTGTTTTGAGAAACCCATGAATTCAAAAGAAACCAAAGTTTACCCACGACGTATGTTTTCCTACTGTCTTTTTTAATAATTCCTCTTCACAATTTTATTTTTAAATGACTGGCTGTACTTGTTGAGATCATAATCAAATAAGATAAAAACATAAACAACAGATGTAAGAAGAGAACAAAGCATTCGAGATAATTCTTTTGGCTTATTATCACAAAAGGTCCCTAAGGTTTACGAAACTATCAGATTGCATCCTTAATGTTTTTTTGTGTCACTCGTGGTCCTCAAGGTTAGTATGTATAATCACAAATGGTCCCTGCCGTTAGGTTCCGTCAAAAACTCCGTTAGTTTGCTGACGTGGCATATATACATATTACAAAACATCCCTAAGGTTTACACATCTATCACAAATGGTCCTTGCGAAATTTTTTAATTTTTTAATTTAAAATTCATAAAATTTTGGTTTTCTTTTTTATATTATTTAAAAATATATATTGTATTTTAAATACATATGACACTATATTTTTGAAGATGTGGGCTCCACATATATGCCACACCAACAAACTAATGAAGTTTTTTTAAAATAATTTAAAATTCATAAAATTTTAAAATGAAAAAACCATTTATATAAGGATTTTAACCTTAAGGACCATTTATAATCCATAAACCCTTGATTTTTTTCATTTTTAAATTTTATGAATTTAAATTATTTTTTAAAAACTCCGTTAGTTTGTTGATGTGGCATCTATGTGGAGCCCACATCTAAAATAATATAGTGTCATGTGTATTTAAAATACAATATATATTTTAAAATAATTTAAAAAATAAAACCAACATTTTATGAATTTTAAATTTAAAAAATTAAAAGAATTTGCAGGGACCATTTGTGATAGGTGTGTAAACCTCAGGGATGTTTTGTGATATATATATGCCACATCAGCAAACTAACGGAGTTTTTGACGGAATTTAACGGCAGGGACCATTTGTGATCATACATACTAACCTTGAGGACCACTAATGACACAAAAAAACATTAAGGATGAAATCTGATAATTTCGTAAACCTTAGGGACCTTTTGTGATAATAAGCCTTCTTTTTAATCAAACACTAATATTTAATTCATTTTAATAATACCAAATTAATATTTAAATAATAATTCATTATTGTTCACTCAGCCCCATGTGGCTTTTACCACTCCAAGACAGCTTTTATTGTTCAGAAGCTTAATAAATGTGTTGAGGAGCCAAAGTCCACTCGTCTGTTATGAAGAGTGAATGAGAAGTCCCATATTTGGTGAGGGTGTTTGACAAGGCTATTGGATAAATGTGGCTCACCTATTTTAGTTACCCAAAATCTTTGAAGAGGCTGGTAGAGATACTCTAAGTTTTTAATTATTTTATCCTCAAATTTGCGTGTTTCCACATGTCAAAGGCCATAAATTTATATACCTTGAAACTTTAACTGCAATGCAGAAATTATTTGTAATTATATATTATAAAACTGTAACTGTAATGTAGAGATTTGATAAGTCATATGGTTAGGTAGTTTGTTTAGTTTTTAATTGCGTAATGTAGTACTCTTTTTTCTTGACTGGATTTCCTCTTCTTCATATTTTATAAGACAAGGTTTTAGGGAGGCCACAATAGCACTGCATATTCCAGTTTTTCTGGTTGTTTTGTGATCTGAATTCTCAGCTTGAATGAAATCTCTACCTGTTTTGATTTAATAAAAAAAATACCCGAAAGAGATGACTACAATGCATAGTCCAATTTGAAAGCTCATAAAGAACTACTTATCCGTTGTTAGAATATACACATGTCATGTTCAAAACCCTCCTTCATAGGAATATAAATATATATGTGTGTGTGAAAGAAAAAATTTACAAAGAGAGGGTATAATTCAAAATTCAGAATAGTTATATAATTAAAAATTCAGAATAGTTAATGTTAGAAAATTATAATATTTATATTTAATTTTTTAATATTTTAATGGAAATTAAATTGTGGACCTGTGACTTTAAGTACATGACTTTTACGAATTAGTATGTATCAATTGGGAATAGTCATGTTCTTAACAGAGGAAAAATAAAATATTATTTATTTTGTTTGTGAATAAAATAATAATACTTTATATGAAAAGTTGCATTGTTTTATAGTAATTGAAGCATTGCACTTCTTGGCTTATAGTTGTAACAGGAAAATACATATTTGTTGATATTTTTCAGTCACGTCTTTTCTAAACAGAGGCCTTGTTCACCCATGCGTTGCCGGCGCGTGTGGGGTTGCGTGGGCCACTTTATTGGTAAGGATACTTCCTCGCTCGTCGTGCCAATGGGCATACGTTTCGAGGGAATATAGTTTGGGAAAAGTTCGAATGGGATGAGTAATAAGTATCATGATGAAATTTCGGATGTCACTATGGTTTGGTCGAAACTATATGTAGCTACATCGGTTTTGAATGCTTGTTGTTTTCGGCATCGTTTTCTAAACGGTGGGGGTTATATTATGTTGTTTTCAAATGTGAATTAAACTTTATTTTTGTCCACTCACACTTTTCTTTTTTGCGCCCCCCAGGCAGTGGCTAGATTCAAATCTTTCGTGTCCCAAGCTTCCATAGGACACTTTTTATTCGTTTTCATTTCCATTAAATTTTATTGCTCATTTGTAAACTGAAATTCTTTAGACTTCTCTGATATTGCCCATGTTAGGATTGACTATAAGGCCAGAGGCCTAATATGTAAATTGCATGAATTTATCTTGTGTATGTTGTCTATTGAGTTGTTTAAATGTGTTTTTAACAGGTTGAGAAATTTGGGAATGTCCATTTTTTAGGGGAGACTCTCCGAAATTTCGGCAGAAAGTCTTGTTTCTTTAGTAAGTGGGCCCGACATCCGTACGATGTCGGATAATACTACAAGATTCGTCTTGGATTTCGAGAAGTTCGGGGCGGGTCCTGTCAACATCAATGGAGACCAAACTAATTATTCGGCAAAATTTTCTTTCAAATTTTAATGGAAAAAAAGAACACAAACTCGGTTTTTCAAAGAAAAAAAATGTACTCGGTTTTTCATTAGGAGAAAAACATAGAGTTTACTTTCCGAGTCTTCAGTGGGAAAGTTCAACTGGACCATTTGTCCATTTTCCATCTGCATCTAATAAGTTCATTATCCACCATTGGTTTGGTCCCATCTGTTAAATTCAATCCATCTGCATCTAGCTTTGATGATATGTGGGGTTGGTCTTGCATAACCGATTTAAGTCATCTCAATATCATTATTAAGGACGAGAGTTTTATCAATTTGGACGAGAGTTTTATCGGTTGGAGATGCTCTAATAAGTCCTATGTTTTACCCACTCCAGGAGGAACATCTTCATCCCATATAAGGCCATTTTCAATGGGGAGGGCCAAATGTCAAATTTTAGCAATACTGCTTGGATGGAGCCCCCAACACATGTATAGGGTCAGGTGAAATATCAATCCATGGATTAAGAAATAAAAATTATTTTTTATTTTTTATTTTTTGTTAGATATATAGAGAAAAAATTAAAAAAGGGTTTAAATATTAATAAAGAAATAGATATATTTGAATTCAATTTAAAATTAGATAATTAAGAAATAAAAATAAGATTTTAAACTAAAAGAAATTAAAAGCAAAGAATACCACCATCCAATCTAGCCGCCACCCCCACCACCCTTCTCTCTTCTCTCTTTCTCCCAGCAACTACCCACCCACCCAGCTACTTCCTGCAGCCTGACCCAAAGGCCCTAACTGATCCCCTAGCCACACCGACCTCCTAAACTCGAATCCACCCAACCCCTGATCTCTCTCTCTCTCTCTCTCTCTCTCTCTCTCAAAAACAACCCCTACCGCTCGACCACCTCCCAGCAGGATCTTCACCAACCCCACCATTAATTCTGGGTCATTTGGCCAACTTGATAAAACACAGGTTTTAATGAAGTTTCAATATATTTTTAAATTAATTCAATTTTTTAAATCAATTTCAAATAAGTTTATAGGTTTTCAACAAAAAAGAAAAAAGAAAAAAGCCTTAAATGTCAAAATAGTCATTGTGTTTTATCATGTTGGCCAATTTAGTCCTTGTGTTTAGCACCGTTAGCCAATGTGGTCCAATCGATTAATTTGATGTTAAAAAGTTTTTAAGAACTAATATAATAATTGAATTGAATTTATAAATAAATAAATAAGCAATAAAAAAATAAATATGAGATAAAAAAAAAAACTAAAAAACTAAAAATTAAAAAACAAAGCACCACCATCCAATCCCAGCTGCCTCCCCCTACTTGCCCATCCTAGCAGCCGCCACCACCATCAAAATGCTATCACACACAAAATTGTGGATTCTTAATTTCCCTTCTTTGAACACGAATTGTCAATCTTGGTTTGCTGTGGGGAAGGTTTGAGCTAGCTATTGATGCCAATACAAAATATGGGTTATGCATCGAGGATTCTGATGCATAATTGGGTTTGGAAAGTCTTTGTTTATCTGGAATTGGAGCTGGCGATTGGGGCTTGGGTTGGCTTTGGAGAAGCTGCTGAAGAAATTGCAGTTTATGAGCTGTGAAGGGATTGGTGAAGAAGGGTATTTTTTTGTCCTTTGCTATGTTTTAA